GTAGGCATATCACTGCCCCCGTGGATGGATGGATGGAAAAAGCAGCAGTCTACTGTAGTCCCACAAGTTCCCTGCCAATGCAAAGCCAAGGAAGCCCTGCAGCCATGTGTACAAAGATACTGTCAGGGATAGAGTTGCACAGCAGAGAGCAGAACATTGTGTAAGCAAACAGCCTCTGTGCACATGCACGCACACACATAAGCACAACCCTGCAGGACAAAAACATACAAACGCACGCACCCACAAGGTTTCTCAGAGCTGGAAAGCAGGGGTGGTGAAAAAAAACCACACAAGAACGTAGAGTCAGCTGAAGGCTTGCTGGGAAAAATAAATAAAGGGAACAAATAACATTTAGCAGGTCCAACCAACCTCCATCCTTGCTGTGAAGCATCAAGGCCCCCCAGCAGTGAAGCAGCAGCGGGTGAGGGTGAGGGGCTCATGCTCGTGCTTCTCTGGACCTCCAACTGCAGCAGGGAAATCTAAACCTACCCCTTCCCCTCCCCTCCCAAACTGGAAATAAGGCCTAGTGTTTAGCCATGTAGGTCAGTCATATCCCCCTGAGACACGTGAACACTACCCTTCCTCAATCATCCCAGTGGTCAACTCGGGTTGTGTAGCTCACTCCTGAGCAGCCTTCTGTCCCCAGCAGTGGCATCTGCCCCAGACATGTTCAATAACAAAGTCATGAATGTGTCTGATCCTTCCCGGTGGGCCACCCTTGCAGACCTAACCCTGCCCCTCTCAATGTATCTGAGCACCCCTGCTGCAGCACATTCCTACAGTGCCATGCTACATCCATTCCTCCAGACCTGGTTCCCCGTAACATCATCTGGGACCCTCCTCTGATCCATGAACTACAGCTAACAAAGAGCTATAAGTGCAGAACAAAAGCAGTCACTGTTTTGAAGGAGGATGAAGCATGGGGTCTTGGGCAACTGAGCAGCTTAAGGTAAGCATTTGCGGGGGGGGGAGACAAATACTGGTTAAAAAAACTGGAAATAGGAAAAAACTAAATAATGGAATGAGAGGGGAGAAAAATAGACCTTTTTAAAAGGCAGGGATGAAGAAGAACAAGCAAAAATTTGAGCAACAAAAACCATAAGAGAAGTAGACAGCGCATCATAAAAAATACAAATTGGACTGGACAGCAGTTTATACCGGCAGCTAAATGGGATTCAGTAATGCACACCAGGCTCAGTCCTCACCTGCTGAGTACTCTAGATCCAGAACAGCACAGATGCATGTGCTTATTTTTAAGCAAAAATAATGCCACCAAAATCAATGGATCTCCTCAGGTATGCATGTGCTTACTGGGTATGGGTCCATGGGTTAAGCAGCCTTCAGAGTTGAGCTCGTTGTTAAACGATATAGCCCTGGGATCTCATTACTTTTGTTGTTGGCCATACTTGCTTATTATGGCTTTTCCCAACTTAAGCCTCAGTTCTGCAACTGCTTCATTTGGTGGCAGACACTTGACCCCTCAAAAGCATGCAATGCCTCAGCAGCTTCAGTGGGACTGTGTAACCAGACCGGTCCAGCTGTGTGGGTGTGACTACAGAGGTGGGACCTAGACTGGGCCCTTTGGGTCAATAACCATATCTTCCTGTGTATCTATACAGTGTGAAGGGGCTACATGCCCTAACAAGGGCCTTTTAGCACTGCTGTAATACAAACAACTAGCTCTTATGCAGGCAGATCTAGTTCATCTGAGCCAGGCAGCAAATGAGAGGAGGACAGGCTTCTAGCAAGATCTGAAGGAAAAGTTCAGTTTGTTCATTGTGTAAAGGCCTCTTTCTTGCACTTCCTCCAGGAAAAAAAGAGAGAACTGGTCACCATCTCCTTTATATCGGCCTTTTATCTACTGAAAAATCTATGCCTCCTACACTTTCTCCCCTTCAAGACTAAACAAGCCAAATCTCTTCAACCTTTCCTTATAGGTCAGGTTTTCTAATGCTCTTTATCATTCTGATTGCTCTTCTCTGGACTCCCTAATTTTATCATCATCTTCCTTCAAGTGTGGTACTGAAAACTGGACATAGTATTTCAGCTGAGGTTCCTCAATGCCAAATAGGAAGGTATAATTACACCAGCCAATTGCCCATCAGGAATGACAGGGGGTGGAGGGGGACGGAGAGCCACCACCCACTGCCCTGCAAGGCCGCCACCTCCCAGGAGCAGTGGGGGGAAGGGGTGGTGGAGCTTGTCCTGCCATCCCCTCCGTCCCTGCTGTCATGGTGGCACTCTGCAGACCACTCTGTCTGTGCAGAGCACTCTGATTGGGTATTTCAGTAAACATTGTGATTGGCTGCTGAGACAACCAGTCAGAGTGCTCCAAGAGTGTTACGGACAGTAAACAGACTGAGAGACTAAGCCCTTTATATATATAATTCTGTCTTGCAGACAATGCTTCTACCAATAGACCCCAGAACAAATATTGCTTTATCACAGCAGAATTGCATTGCTGATGTATGGTTAATTTGTGACCCACTATAACCCCCATACCCTTCCCTACTGCACTGCTGCTTACCCAGGTGTTACCCATTTTGTATGAGTGCATTTGATTTCTCCTTCCGTAAATGGAGCACTTTTGTCCGTGCTTTTTGAGTTTTTCACCCTGTTGGTTTCAGACACTTTCTCCAATTTGTTAAGATCATTTTGAATTCTGATCTTGCCCTACTATCCTAGTGCAGAGGAGCTTTTGGGACCAGGTATGTGTCGGGTTTTAGATGCTAATGAGCCCATTGCTTCCCTTGTGGGAAAGTCTTCAAGAGTTTAACAGAAGTTCAGAGCATTGCTGTTAAATTCTATAGGATGATCAAGAACAATCAAAAGTTGATTACTTTCTCTACAATTCACTAGGATTATAAGAAAAAGGGAGAAGGAACAGCCATGAAACAAAGCACTTCCCAAACCTGACATTTTAAGGAAATAAACTCTCCACCTTATAGGTTCTAGCCTTATTAAGTTCTTTGAGACTGTTTTGTGTGGGGGTTAACTTTGCATTTCCAAAGTACTTCCACCAAGGAAGTTCAGTTACTTATAAGTAGCCAAGCTGGGATATTCAGTAGTGCCTCATAGAGATGTGGGTCACTGACTCTCCATAGGGACTGTGCTTCTAAAGCCTGGACAACACTATAAAGGCTTTGCTAGTATGAAGGTAGCACAGACACATTTCATATCAGCAGAAATATGCTTTTTCTTCTATAGGTAATACCAATTCCCTGAGTGAAATAAGCTGTTTTGGCCAATGGACTTTTATGCCAGTGTAAGTGAATCTTATAAAAATGTCATTTAAAAAAAAATCCTCACACCTAACCAACATTTACTATAGCGACAAAGATTTCCAGCATAGACTGAGAAGTCATTTAGCTGCTTTTGAATAATTCCATGCTAAGGTCTGTTCTATACTACAAAGTTTTGCAGGCAAACACTCAGTCTGGACTCATCTCTGCGAAGAGATGAGAGCTTTGCCAGCTAAGGCAAATGTCATCCTTTCATGAAGAACCTACTTGGCAGAAAAAACACTTCTGTTGCCATATGCTGCATCACCACTAGGGGGCTCTGCCAAGAGACTGTGGGAATAGCTATAAATAAGCAGCAGCAGCTCCCTAATGTAGGCAAGCCCTAAGAGGTTTTAGTGAGGGAGGTCAGTACCAACACCTTCCTTGTACAGATGGAGAAATGGAAAGACAAAAGGCAGCATTATTAGTTAAGCTTCTGAGTCGCTCCTTGGGCACACAGGTAAGTGTGATTTGCAGAAGTGCTGAGCAGCTCTGGCTTCCCCTGTTTTTAACTAGATAAAAACCAAGCTACTTTTAATAAGATGCCTAAACTCAAATGCTGGCAGCTGACAGTGGGCACCCAGGCTTGAGAGTTTTGGTCAAAGTAACCAACTCAGTTCAGCTACAGCTTCTCTGGCTTTAAGAACTGAAACAAGGGAATCCTGCCTCCAAGTACCTTACTGGAACCATTAGATAATGGTCCTCACATCCCCAAGAGCTGCATTCTCAGTGCACGGGAAGGTTCACTGAAGGAGATGGATATAGCATGGGCCATACCTCCCTGTGCCTTTACACAGTAGACTGCAAAGAGAAAATGCTTTGGCTGGACCAGAAAGGGTTAAAAAGGGTTACGAGGGGTTTTGCTGACCTATTTTCCAGGCAGGCACCCTTTAATCTCCTTTGGAGACACCTTCGCACAAAGACTGGTACAGCAGCTCAGCTGGAGCCAGGATTTAACGTGGAAGAACTTGTCCTGAAGAGATTAAAAACGGCAGTCGGGCACTGAACCTTCAGTCAAACTGGCAGGAATTTCTAACTGAGGGAAGGGGGGTGGAGAGGAAAACAAGGGGGACTGGGATCAGGGGCTTTCGTGGACTAACATTACAGCAGTGTTCAGAAGTACCCTCCCCCAACATACTGCAGGAGGGGTTATGTAGAGCTGATGGCCTCCAATGGCATTTGTCATGGCAGCACATCCTTAAAAAAATAAAGAAATAAAATGCATAGTTTCTGGGGGCTTCAAACACCCTGTGTCTACTTTTGGAGAAGGGTGGAGTTTTACCCTGAGTTTCTCCAGAAAACAGTGTCACCAAACAGCTGAGAGACCCTATTAATAGTGTCTACAGCCTTCATCACCTGCCATTCACATCAGCCCCAAGCCCACCAAGAGCCATACCAGAGGTAAAGGACTCTGAGATTTCAGCAACTCTGCTGGAAAGTAAAGAATAGAAGAGTGAACAGAATAGACCAGTGAGGTCAGCTGGTGATGTCAGCAGCACACTTACCAACATCAGTGTGGACTAAGTTCATACAGGAATAAAAACAAGAGATAGAGAATAAAGAATGAAGAAGAAAGAGTAAGTGTTGGAGCAGAACAAGAAATAGAACTAGACAAAGGAGGGAAAATGGGGATGAGAAGATAAGGAAGGGAAATGAATGGGAAAGAGACATGCACACATCATAGCCCAGCTCAATCATACGATCCTCCTTCCATCTTACCTGGGGGTCCCTGAGACGAGTGAGGTCTGGGTAAAGATAGAACAGGATCCCCCGGAAAGCTCCTGGCAGAGAGACTCCCCTGATCAGCAGAACTACCAGCATAAGGTATGGGAACGTAGCAGTGAAGTATACCACCTGGAAGGAAGATAAAACAGAGTATGTATGAGAGATCAGCTCATAGTAACAGCTAGGAACCCTAAGGTTCCAACTGATCATTGCTATCAAGGACACAAAGGCAGTGCAAGAGAACATAAGAACATAAGACGTGCCGTACTGGCTCAGACCAGTGGTCTATCTAGACCAACAGGCTGACAGTGGCAGGAGCAGAAGCTTTACAGCACTGGTGCTCAGTTTCAGATCAGGTGCCAGGGGCACCACACTGCCCCCCACCCAGCCAGAATCAGACTCTGACAGCTCCCACACTGCCCCTGCCCAACTCCTGTGCACTGGGACCAGACCCCACACTACCCTATGCACTTGATCTAGCATGCAGGCCCATGGGGGCTCCCCACAGGCCAGATGACACAGTGCTGGAGGCCAGAGTTTGAGCACCCCTGCTTTGGAGGGACCGCATGGAACAGGGTATACCTAGAGTGACCTGCCCCCCCATTCATTACTGTTCCTGGCATTCACAGTCACTGGTTTAAAAATGCCAAAAGAAACATCTCTGACCGTTCTGCTTAATAACTGTTAATAGATCTGCCATACATGAATTTGTCTAATCCCTTTTTGAATCTGGCTATGCTATCTGCTTCTACAACTTCCTGTGGCAATGAGTACCATAAAGTAGCAAACACACTGCCTAAAAAAAGTTTCTGTTGTTAGTTTTAAACCTGTCTCCTATTTGCAGAGGGTGCTCCCTAGTTCTAGTATTCTGGGACTTGGTGAATAACAATTCCCTATTCACTTTGTCCATACCCTTCTTGACTTTGTATTGATGGTGGACAGAGTGAATAGGGAACTGTTATTTACTATGTCTCAGCCTTCTTCTTTCCAAACTGAAGATTCCTAGCCAGTTTCTTCTGGTATGACAATTGCTCTGTATCGCTGATCATTTTGGTTGCCCTTCTCTGTACTTTTTCCAGTTCTAAATACATCCTTTTTGAGATGCAGAACTGCACAGCATGTTCAAGGTGAGGGCCCACCATAGATTTGTATAGAACGATATATTAGAAAGACACAGATCAGACAAGAGGGTCAGTAAGTGGGAGGCAAAGGAAAAGTTTGGGTTTCAATTATAGAGTCTTGGTTAAAGCACAGGAGAAAGGAATTCTCTGTTATTGGATGGTTAGTAAGGTCACCATGGGAACATCATAGACATATAGTATATATACACATTATGTATAGTGAGACCTCAGGCCAGGCCTTTTGCCAAAATAAGTCAGAGTAACTTTATTGAATTCAACATAGTTGCACTGATTAATCTTAGCTGAAGATATGGTGCCTCAATATCCTGTTCCCATGTGTTGGTTCAAATGAACACTCTGTTAATCATGGCAAGCTCCCTAGGTGGGAGTGGTCCAATAGAACATTATCTAAATAAACCCATGAGATGCATGCAGGTAACAGTAGCCCATCTGAATACATCCCTTCATAGTATAGTATCACCAAGGAATTGGTTTGAGGTGAATCATACCTAGAAGGAAGGAATAATCATTACAGCTCTTTTTGGTGTAAAGAACATACCTCTGCTGCCTGGAGGTTTTAAGACAGCAGTCCATTTACTCCATGCTGTTCTATCTAAAACCCTGCAGTCTAAAATTTCCCTGAGCTTTTCTGGGGAGGCATATCGGGTAAACAAATAGATATAGGTGCTTCTCAATGTCAAGAGGGCAACATAGATCCAGCCAATACTTACAGAAGCTCAGTTTGTGATTGCAAATAGAAAAACAATGCCTACAAGTCCCATTCTGATAGGTGTGCCTATCAGTTTCTGATACTCTATGTTCCATTATAGTAAAGATGGAGTGAGCAGGTTTGGAGAACTCAATGGTTTTCTGGCAACTAGACCAAATTAGAGGTGCATTAATGTTCGTTTTTATTACTACTACACAATTTGCCTCTTGCAAAGCAAAATACTTCCAGTGGCCACCATCCTGTCTCAACTGTGCTGAAGCACCAGCATTCAACTCTGGGGCAAGCAACTGGCTTATGTCTTACACTTGCTGCTTCATGTTGCAGGTGTTCCTAGGTAGAGAGCAACATGAAACAAAGGCATCTCACTTACAGCAGGACAGAATGACATGGGTCTGTTAACAGAAGCATCCTGACACTTAGACCCAGACAGGGTGAAGGTATCTAACTGTTGCTTGATGCAACGCTTCTTACTGTTCTCATGCTTGTCCCATGGATAATGTGGACTTACTCGGACATGTTTGAAATCCTTTACTTTAACAAAATAGCTGCATTGTTTGGAGGAATATTGACGGCCAAAATCAGAGTTAATCCTTTCAGGGATTCCATGTTTGGCAAATATAACCTTCAGTTTTGAAATTACTGTGGTACTTTGGGGATTGTTCAGGTTAATTACTACAGGATTTGATAACAATGACACACTGTAGTCTGTTTTTCCACATAAACAAATCATGCCCAAGTGCTCCCATTGGTTTACTAGCATTTCACGTAGAGTTGCGCTGTGCTTTTCTTGTATTTCTCCATATACTTTTTTAAGTCATAGTGAACATCTTCCAAAAAGTTGCTCAATTTGTTGAGGTATATTAAGCCAAAAGAATGCACCAAGGGGTCTCTGGATTTTTTCATGTCTATATGCTTAGTTAGGATTCACATTCACTTATTTTGTTGTAATGTGATGGTAACTGTTACATGGTAACTGTTCATGATTTAATCTCTTCAGGACAAGTTTTTCCACTTTAAATGGTAACTGTTCCTTTACAGACAGGGAAGACATGCCATCCAAAATCAAAAGTTCATCCTTACTTGAGGACATGAAATAATCTTTCTAGTGTCTGCACATCCATGTTATATTATTTGTTTCAAATCCTTTATCTAATCTTCCTTTTCAGTTGCCTCTAATTTCCATCATTTCCTGATTATGTGCCTGCATACTAATCCCAACATCAGTGTTGGCACAGATACTAATGTCCATAAAGGATGTATATTTTCCTGGGCAATATATAAGACCATTATCTTTCTGCAGCTGGAGAGTTTATCTTGTAATAGGGACAGGGGTCCAACAAGGGGTTTCCTCCAGACTGATCTAAGCAGTTGAGAGTTGGATTCAACTACAGTACTTTACATATGTTGTTGAAAGTGCTTGCATCCAAATCTAGTTTCATATAGCTTGCTTCCTCATTTGTACATGATATTTGTTATGGTGGCATGAAGGATTTTTATATATAACATAGCAGCCAAACTCCCTAGAGCATTGCTGCACCACCTCTGCTTGTAATTTAGTTCCTTGTTGGGATCAAGGTAAGTACTTTATTAATTCATTTTACTAGGATTATCAATTATTTGTATTGCAACAGCAATGAGAAGCCTCGGGCAGGGACTGGATTCCAGTTAAAAGAGGGTTTCTTCCAGAAATAGCTCTCAGTCTAAGAAAAAATCCTGTTTTGCCATCTATAGAAGAATATATTTTGCTTTTGTAAGGTTAGGAGGCAGTCCCATGATCTCTGTCATAGAATGAATCTGTAGCCAGCGAAGTAACTATCTGCAGTAATGCAGGGTCTATACTACTTTACACTGAAATGCAAATCATGCTTTTCTTGAAATTCAGATTCACGCTTTTTTTTCTGTGCATCACTTTAGGATATGACAGGGCAAAAATGTTTGCATTATATCCTCACTTGAAGTGAGGAATTACAAGAATGTCGTCCTTGATGCCAGCTGCTTAGGTGTCCTTCATACGTTCAAATTTCATCTCGTACTCAAATGATGCCAGAGGGGCAAGTAAAGAAACCCAGATCAGCAACATTTGCAGTCATTCGTAATGAATTTTCCAAGAGTGTGTGTGATGCTCTGACCTTACACCCCATACAGAGAGTTTCAAACACTGGCAGATGTTTATCACTCATTTAAGACAGGGCTTTTCTACATTTAGCAAGTTAACACAGTCTACTCTCTGTCACTTCATTATT